ATCTCATAATTATGAGATATCTCATAAGTACAAGAAAATATCTAATAATTATGAGATCTTATCTCATAATTACAAGAAAAAAATCTTGTCATCAGTGTAAAAGGACAGTTTGAACTGTGTAAACACTGTATTCAGTTTGACTTGTCTTCCTTTTAAGACATTTTAAGCTACAATAGTTTTCTGATATGTCTTGTCTTGATCTTATTCTATATACAAATTAAAAATTCAAATGTACAGATTCATTACAACCGTTATGTCAAAAAAATCGATTTCATTATATTCTGTGTACTTCCTTCACATGACTTGAAACTTGTTGTTTTGTTTGGTGTGTAAGACCCTGGCCTCTTTTTCTCATTTTGCTCAAGATTAATGCATCTGTGCTGTCCTCTAGTCCAACTTTCTATTTTCATTGGCAGGATTACTTGCAGCTACTTCTTAGCTAGTCTCCAGGTGGTATGCTGTGCAGGGGCTTGTCCTTCCACATTGTTCTGTTGCATGAGGAATTAGGAATTCATCAATGGGAGCCATCTCCCTGACAGGTTACTTCATAGATGTTTCGTTTCATCCTGCACGGTGACTCTGATTCTCAAAAATCCTCAGCCTTTCTCCACTGAACATGCAGTCTCAGGATGCTGGACTTTGAGTGGAGCCAACCATTCGTTTTGATGGGTTGTCCTGTTTTCATATGAGCAGCTTCTTTCTCCCCCTTTGGCCAAACTATTATGATATCTGCTAACTTTTATCTGATTCCCTGCTGCTATAAAACCCTGGCCAAAGGAGAAGAAGAAATGCATTTATATTGATGGCTCAGAATTTGTTGTTGCCACACAGCCAGTTTTTCACTTGTTTTACTTATTGGTGTTTGTGGCTGACTTTCKGACAGCCTCTTTATCGTATTTGACTGTGGGATACCGATATATTTGCACCTGTCCCGAGCATCTGCAGCATTGCCTCTTTGTTCAGAGGTGATGATCACATTACATGTCCTTGAATACAACTTGTTCCCTTTCTCTCTGAATGATTTTCCATTGTTATTTCTGTTTATTRATCAGAGAACCATCGTCATAATCCTTGTGCCGTGCACAAGTGCACTCATGTTTACGCCGCGTTTGACTCTTTTTGATGGTCTGACTGAATAATGGGGACAGAAATGTTTAATGGTAACTCATGTAATACTTCAGGTGACATCTTGAATATGTTTTCACTTTTTCCTTCAGTGAATAAACAAAGTTTAACGTGAATATTAGCGGTGCAACAATACAGAAAATTCATGATTTGTTTTGGTTCAGTACTGTAGTCTTAAGGTTCAACATTTTTTGAGAAATTTCCATGCCCTTCTTATTTATTAAAATTAATTATGAACACTTGTTTAACCTCAAAAGTAAAGTTTTTAAATTAAATGTGAATCTGCACTTGACAGTGCAGCCTAGTCGAACGCAGATCCTCTGAGGCTTCAACACAACGCATCTTCAGAAGACAAGTTRATAAAATTTTTCAAATCTGTATTGTTCGACACAAGTATTAAACCTAGAGCACTGTATTAAAAGATTTGATTCAAATGCATGTATTGTTGGTGCACCCCTAGTGAACATCTACTGCAGTTCTACAGTTTTTGCTAAATTTGTACCACTTATAGATGAGCAGATGTATATACTGTATATATTTTTAGAAAACAATGAGATTATTGTGAAGTCAGTGCGTACATGGATTAACCCTCTTGCTCCAGTCAAATGTGAATGTTGTTGAGGTTTTCTTTCTGAAAAACACCATGTAATTTATTTTGTTGAGATGTCATGACTTCGTTCCCAAGTCTTTTGAACAGAAAGAAAACATATTATAGTAATCTGTGATAAATTAAGGGTGTTTTCTTCAACTTTGCCACACCCTGATGTGTTCCAGCTTAAATGTCACCTATTAGAAATGACTGAAACATTAGATTTATAAAATTGTTTTAAATAGATGTAATTTGTCTCTTGCACCCTCAGGTATATTTGTTTTTGATAGAACACACACACAAACACACTCTCACACACATAGCTTCCACGGCATCACCCGAGGGAATCTATCCCAGAAGCTTTCCCCATGGGAAATAAACCTGCTGCCTCTCACAAACATTGTTTTGAATCATGTACTGAACTTTTGTCACAGTTCTGGTGTATTAAAGTGTTTTTCAGGCCTTAAATATTCATTCTGTGGCAGCACAACTGAACATCTTATGTTAGTGAGGCCCTCAGTCATATCTTTGCTCATGACAGTGATGACGAGGAGAGAGGCTGGATCCGACATGAAAGATGCTCTAGAGAAGAGTCAGAAGTTGAAATCAACACAGATTCAAAACTATAAGACATACTTAATGATGAGGGAAATGGCCATGCTCCCTTGATAAATTTTGATCAAAGAATAGGGATACTGTGTATTGAAGCCTTTTATTAAAATTACAATATTTAGGCAGTAATTTTATCATAGCTAAAAATGGATGAATAATTAGGATGAATAATTTTGAGAAGTTATATGCATAATATTTTATTATAATAAATATAAATAGGAGAGGACAAGCTTTAATAAGCTTGGGACTGTCGAAGTGAAGCAGGAATAAACCCAGGTTGCAGTCTGGCTCAAGAAGGTCAAACAAAAGTATTTATTAAGTAACAAAAAACTGCTGTCAGGACAGCTTTACTTACAAAAATCACGGAGGTCACAGGCACGAGGGAACAGGACACAGCAAACAAAACAAACAAAATGATCCGACGACAGACAAAGACAAGACAGGGCTTAAATAC